CCTTACTCACACACAGGTTGGACTACCTGATATGGGGTGGAGCTTGCTTCATGTCTTGATCCTATAAACTAGAGGCAGGTATTCAAGAAGCCTGAGCCTGAATTGATTCAATCTTTGCAGGTTAGTCTAACCTGGCTAGGCTAAACCAGTTTGTAACTGTACAGACGTCCCCTCTGGACTGAAAAAATGCAGTGGCTCAGGCCAGAAGCCGGGGGGTGCTAGAGCAGTCCTCCCTTCCCTCTGACAATGCTGAGCTGAGGAGGGTGTGGCCAGACCCTGGCAGGATGCTGTGATTAGGGAGGGGTTCTCACTCCTGACCAGCCCAGCAGGGAATTGAAAACAGTGCTTATCACCCCTAACTCAGTGTTCATCACCCCGTTAAGAAAACAACAGAGGGATGTTACCAGCTACCTGTTGATTCTGCCTTTGTCCCGTCTACCACACCATGGCCTGTAGCCAGCATGTGGTCTGCTAGCTAACACACAGACATCTCTCTGCAAGGCAGAGGGGAGGGGGGAATTCCTGCTTAGCAAGGAGTGTTGGGGGGGGAGCAGCCTAGAGTCTCTGCCAGAGCTCCAGCCAGGGAGCAGAGGGGAAGGGCCAGCCCTGCAGTGGAGCAGATAGCCTGGGCCAGGCCAGAGAGCATGCCAGGATGCTGGAGGAGTCTGGTTTAACTTAAACCAGCAAGGGGTCTGGGACAGATATTGCATAAACCAGTTTGACCCAAAACAGTAATGTCTGATACCACATTCAATCAGATTTATTTCAAACTGGTTTAGCCATTTTCAAACTGATTAATGTGCACTAAACGTATGTTCTGTTGCAGGCTTAAACCAGTTTTTGATCACTTAAACTGGTTTATGTGCAACTTCTGTACCTAGCCCTACTGTAGATTTTGCTTCCCCAAATCAACCCACCTTTCACCAGCACACCCAAACACTTAGTTTTTATCTGTAGGCAAAACAGATTGCTATATAAAACAAAATCTTTCCATCTTTGTAGTTTCTAAAATCAATTAGAAGGGTTCAAGCAACCTTTTTGTCACTTTACAAAGAGCACTAAGGAGAATGGACAGGGCAAAGAAAGCTCTGAGCTTTCACTTTCACTGTGTACTTCAACAAAAAGAGGCTTTTCCTGTGGTTTTTAGGATCCTCATGTAAGCAAATGGGAATTGCTCAGCACACCTTACAGCAAGAGGCCCCAGAAAGATGAAATAGCTGCCAGCTAGGATGATAATTACTTTGACTTGCAAAACTGCATACTTCACTGAGGCAGAGAAGGGCTGAAGGAGACAAAGAACAATCTATAAACTCCTATGGAAATAGGGAAAATGTTGAGTGAGCATTTACCACCTTGCATTTATCTTGTTTCCCCCCACTGTACTGTACTACTGTATTTTTATGGCTAATATATATTCATAGCTGGCAAAATCCATGCCCTGGAACAGAGGAAACAAAAACAAATCTAAAACAATGGCCATTTTAAAAACAACATGCCCTAGCTATGTATTGCTAAATACCAACTGTTAATTTATTTCCAAATGTCCTTTTGTGGAAACCGGAAGAACAAATGAGTACTGCTTGTTGCATTTCTAATCCAAACATAAAATGAAACTAAAAAGTTTCTTGACTGCCATCTGCTGTTCAAAACACTTTTCTGACAAAAGGGCCAGAAAAACCTGAATGTGTTAAAAAGAGTGTTGTCTTTGGAATTTTGTTACAAATGGTGTTAAGAGTAAAACAAATGAAACTACAAAGAGTTAAAGTTACATAAAACTAGTTTTGCATTATATAATATCTATATAATGCAAAAATATAATAAAATATATATTTTTTACTGTAAAAAGTGCTTGGCTAAAAGGTCAGTGCTATGAATCTATGTGATGCTCTTATTAAAAGATTTTATTTTCATACATTTTTATGGTCTACTATGGCAAGCAGCTCTATATTCACCTTTTTATATAGGTCTTCGGGTCTACTTAGATCCCCAATTATGTAAACACATACATACAAAGTTAAAAAGAAAAGAGCCATGGCGGCATCTTAAAAACAAGAAGAAAGGAAACAATGGGACAAATAATAAACAACACTCAAATGCTTAAATGATTGACAGAACCTTTGGGCTAGGGACAGAAGTTGCACATAAACCAGTTTAAGTGATCAGACACTGGTTTAAACCTGTAACAGAATAGAAGTTCAGTGCACATAAACCAGTTTCAAAATAGCTTAATGGTTCAAGATAAACCTGGTTCAATGTAGTATCAGATTTAACAGATTTCTATCCCAGACCCTTTCCTGGTTTATGGTAAATCAGAGTCCCCCAGCATCCCAGCATGCTTTTCAGCCCTGGGCTGTGCTGTGCTGTGCTGTCTGCTCCAGAAGCCAGGGCTAGTCCCACCCCTCTGCTCTCTAGCTGGAGCAGGGAAAGGGCCATGGCCCAAAGCCAGCCCAGCATGGTCCCCTAAGGTGAAGGGGGCAGGGAGGAGGCTTATTCATCCTTCCCTCTCCTCTCTCACCAGGGGACCTGACAGGGATCCTGACAGGGGCAGCAACCCCATGGTGTCCCAGGGACTGCAAGCCTCTTCCTAATAGGCGGGCTGAGAAGGGACTGTACTGCTGGCAGGAGCAGGATGAGCAGAGCTGCTGCAGCCTGGGAGGGGTGAACAGAGGTGGCAGGGCTTGGAGGGGTGGCTACAGGGGATAAGGTGAATTTTGGGGTGGCCCTCCTAGAGTCGCCACTGCTTAGCCCCCTGTAGCCACCCCTCCCAACCTGGCCACCGATGCCTCTCACCCCAGCTCAGCTCCAGTCCCAGCTCCAGCCCCGAGCAGATGGTGCAGCTGGGCTCCGGGGGCAGTGCAGCTGGGCTCCGGAAAGGGACCTGCCTCTGAGGCCCAGCCCCACCACTATAGATTTCATGGACACATGAAAGGGAAGGGACCTCACAAGATCATTGGGTCCAGCCCCCTGCTCAAAGGGCAGGAAGTCAGCAGGGGTCAAATGATCCCAGCAAAATAGACATCCATGTGTTTTTGAAAGTATCCAGAGTAGGTGCTTGCCCCATCTCTGGGGTGAGTCTATTCCAGGACCTGGGGACTTGGACAGTAAAAGAAGTTTTTCCTTATGTCCAGCCTAAAACAGTCTTCCAGGAGTTTGCAACCATTGGACCCTGTCTTCCCATGGGGTGCCCTGGTGAACAGTTGTTCTCCCAGTTCCTGATGCATACCCATTATGTACTTATAGGCTGCCACCAAGTCACCCCTGAGCATCTGTACACCTCACCTGAGGCTGGGACTGGGGCTGGGGATGGAGCTAGGGCTGAGCTGGCCCGGCCCGTGGGTGCTGCTGAGGACAGATGCAGAGGGGCTGGGCCTTCCCCAGCCAGCAGTGGCTTGGGTTTGGGCTGCAGGAACTGTGCACCTGGATTACTGACAACTCCCTGCACCCATGCTGAGCCAGGCTGTCAGGGAGCTGCTCAGATAGCACCGCACAAAGCCTCCTGCCCCACCCCACAGCTGGGGAAGAGGATGAGGAAGAGAGCTCTGCCCGCTGCAGCAGCTCCCTGGCAGCCTGCCTAACCTGAGCACAGGGAGCTCAGAGCAAACTGGGCTGGGCTGGGCCATGGGGACAGGGCCCTTCCCAGTCAGAGGTGGGGCTTGGGCTGGGGCCACAGGAATTGTGAGCCCTGACTGCTCCTGGCTCCCCACACCCAGGCCTGGCCCAATTTGCACCTGGCTCCCTGTGCCCAGGCTGGGTTGGGCTGTCAGGGAGCCACTGCAGTGTGCAGGGCTCTCCTCCTCCTCCTTCTGCTCCTCCCCTACCATGGGGTGGAGGAGGAGTTTGGCTGTGCCCCTGCTCTTGCTGCTGGACCCTTTGGCACCAGCTGGGGGACGGAGTCTGGCCACACTCCCTTCCCCAGTTTTGAAAAGCCAGGCAAGGGCTGCTTCTCCCCCACCAGGCACACCCAGGCTAGGGTCCCTGAAGGCTATGGTGAGGGATTTAAATTCCTCCCCAATCATAACTCAGGCCTGCCAGGCCCTGGTTACACCCCTCCCCAACTCAGCTTCCCTTGGCCACTGCAGAAGAGAAGGGAAGGCTCGCGCTAGCAGCCCTGGCTTCTAGCCTGAGCCACTGCAGGCATGTGCCTGCATTTCCAGAATAAAAAATGAATGTCTACTCACTTGTGAATTAGTTCAATCTACACAGGTTAGACTAACCTGCAAAGATTAAATCAATTCAGGATTGGGTTTATTGAAGCTCTGTACTTAGCCCTAGAGTGTAACAATAAATAGAGAATGGAGAACAATTATATTTGAAACTAGTTAGTTATTAACATTAACAAGGTATAGAATTTGGACTGTGCTAAATCACAAAAGAAACTTCCTAACAGAAAGATCTATTAAGTCTGGAGAAAAGTTTTTCCAAAGTAATGTTAGAAGCAATATCAGTTATGCCATTTTAAACCTAGATTGTGAAAATGTTTGAAAATACAACACACTAAACACTGGCAATGGGAGGATCTAACACCAGAAGGATATGTATCTCCAGTTTCCTTTATCAAGTTGGTTTCCTCCTTTGGGACATTAAAAGGCACCCAAAGTAACTGCTCACCAACAATATTGTACCACATTGGCCTACCACCAACTAGAAATATAAGAGGCTTAGTAGCATGATCTGCTACCTGAATATGCTCTAATGTGTACAGATTATAACAAAAATGAAAAAAAAACCCACAGAGATGCATAAAATGAAGAAAAAAAAATAGCACAATGAAATGTGTAAAGTGAATGCACTGCTGTATGCTGATAAAGCGTTTGCTCCAACACTATTTTAGACAGTGCAACAGGTTATTTTAGACAGTGCTATAGAGTTCCACTAGCAAGTATGTTAACATGTGCCAAAAATTCCTAAGTGTCTTTTTCGCAACACTCCTGTCAGCTGGTGAGTAAGACTTTGAAAGGCATTTCTGGAAAGGGAATTCTTAAGAACTAGTTTAAACCTACCTGGTTTGAAATGGGGTAAAGAATGGACTCCTGGCCAAGTGTCTTCATTTGGTGTTCCAAGTACCTATTAGCAAAGGGGAGGAGAGAGAGAGAGAGAAAGACTCTTTAATTTATAGCCTGCGCACGCTTGGCAATTATATATAGAGCCATTTTTCCAAAGATCTCAAAGCACTTTATAGAAGCTTAATTAAAGTTTATATTGTAATGAAGAGAAAGGTTAATTGACTCATCACAAATGAGTCAATGACAAACAGTAGAGTAGATATAGCTGCTCTTAACTCCCATTCCTTCAACCTTCACTAATGAACTAAATCATCTATATATATTAAAGCTGGTTTCCTATTGACAAATGTCAACCTATTAGAACATCACAGACAGTAAAAATTGCAGAGACTAGTTCTTTGAGCTTATTAGAAAGAAAAATCTCTGTACTTATTAATAAACTGAATGGATGCATACAATTTAAACTATGTAGGAGCTTGCACAACTGCTGTTGGGACAGAAAAGGTACACAGAAGATGAAGACTGCATTATGAGCCAGATTATATAAAGGAGGGGGGCAGATGAATAGTTTATACTGAATTAAGAGATGGGAAAAAGACTTATCATATATCATCAGATTTGCATTAGCTGCTTTATGTCTGTTCTATCCAGGGTAAGTGGAAGATAAATCACAGTAATTTAACACAGTGGTGTAACTAAGGCAGGGCAACTGGGGCAGCTGCTCTGGGTCCTGATTTGGAGGCAGGGTCACTGGAAAAAACAGGTTGCCACTACTGCAGATGCAGCCACAGCCACAGCCACGCAATTGCTCTAGCAGTGTGGCACCAACCAAAAGCCATAGGTTCATAGGGAAGTAGGACTGGAAGGGACCTCACAAGGTCATTTAGTCCAGCCCTCTGTTCAAAGCAGGATCATCCATGACTAGACCATCTCAGCCAAGTGCCTGTTTAACTTGCTCCAGAAAACTTCCAAGGATGGAGATTCCAGAATTTCTCTAGGTAGCCTATTCCAAATCTTGACTACTCTCATAGTCAGAAAGTTCAACCTAATCACCAAACTAAATTTCCCCTGCTGAAGCTTGAGGTCACTGCTCCTAGTCCTGCCTCTACAACCACAGACAAAAGCCCATATCTATCTTTGCTGTACTCACCCTATTTGAAGACTTTTCAAATGGTCCCTTAGTTTTTTCTCCAAATGAAATAATCCTAGGCCTTTCAGCCTTTCCACCTAAATTTTGCTTCCCAGAATCCTAATACATTTTGCTGCTATGTGCTGGACTCTGCCCAAAACTGTTCACATCCTACTTGAAATGTGAGGCTCAAAATTGGACACAGTACTCCAGATCAGAGGCCTCACCAGTGCTGAATACAGCAGAAGAATCACTTCTCTTGAACTCCTATTAGCCAGGATGTTGTTGCCTTTTTTTTGGAACAAGAATCATAGGATCATAGAAAATTATGGTTGGAAGGGACCTCAGGAGGGCATCCCAGTCCAACCCCCTGCTCAAACCAGGACCATCCCCAACAAGATCATCCCATCCAAGGTTTGTCTAGCCAGGTGTTAAAAACCTCCAAGGATGGACAGTTCACAACCTGTCCGGGCAACCTGTACCAGTGTTTTACTACTCTCCTACTGAGAGAATTCTTCCTAATATCTAACCTAAACTTCCCTTGCTGCAACTCGAGATGATTGCTCCTTGTTCTGTCATCTATCACCACTGAGAACAGTCCAGCTCCATTCTCTTTCAAATCCTTCGTTAGGTAGTTGAAAGCTGATGTTGAACCCCCTCTCAATCTTCTCTTCTTTAGACTAAATAAGCCCAGTTCCCTCAGCCTCTCCTCGTAAGTCATGTGCCGCAACCCCCACACCATTTTCACTGCTCTCCACTGGACTCACTCCAATTTGTTCACATCCTTTCTGTGGTAGGGAGCCCAAAACCGGACACAGTACTCCGGATGTAGCCTCACCAGTGCTGAATAGAAGAGAAGTATCACTTCCCTTGACCTGCTGGCAACACTCCTACCAATGCAGGCCAGTATGCTATTAGCCTTCTTGGCAACAAGGGCACACTGGAATTTTATGGAAATTCAATTTTATGGAAATTGAAGTAAAAAGGGTATACTTCAGCCTTTTCTGAATCATCCATAACTAGACTGCCTTCTGCGTTCAGTAAGAGACTACCTATGGTTTCTCCGATCTTTCTCTTACTTTCAACACACTTGTAGGATCCCTTTTTATTCCCTTTTATGTCTCTTTCCAGCTGTATCTCAAACTGCATCTTGGACTCCCTAATCTTCTTTCTGCATGCCCATGAGATACTCTTATACTCTGTCCTAATTATGACCAAGTTTCCATTTTTTATAGGATTCCTTTTTGAGCTGCAACTCATTGATGAGATTGCTGTCTAACCAGGTTGGCCTTCTGTTACACTTCCCATTCTTCTGTCGTATCAGGATAGCTTGCTCCTGCAATCTTAAGAGGGCCTCATTAAAGTACAGTCAGTTGTCCTGGACTCCTTTTCCCCTCAGACTTGCCTCCCAGTGCCACCAATTGCCACCAATTGCCTGAGTTTGTTACAGATTCTTTTCTGAAGTCCAGTGTCCTTATTCTGTTGCTCTCCCCCTCAGGATCATGAACTCTATCATTTAATGGTCGCTGTCACTCAAGTTACCTTCCTGTTTGTGAGCATTAAATCAAGAAGAGCTTCTCTCCTCACTGGCCTTTCTACCATCTGCACCAAAAAGTTATCCTCAACACTCTCCACTAATTTGCTGGACTGCTTGAGCACTATTGCGTTTTCCTCCCAAAAGATGTCCCATTATTTAAAGTCCTCCATAGAAACCAAGTCCTGCCGTCTGGAAGTTTCCATCACTAATTTAAAGACTTCATCCACCTCCTCCTCCTGGTTTGGAGGCCTGTAGCAGACACCCACCATGACATCTACTCTCCCCTCTGATATTTATCTGGAGGCTTTCAACAGGCCTACCTTTCACCTTCTAATGCACCTCTGAACACATGTACATCAACTTTATATAGGGCAACATTGCCTCCTTTTTCCCCTGCCTATTCTTCCTGAACAAGCTATACTCATTCAAGGCACCACTCCAGTCGTATGAACTATTCTACCATGGCTCCATAATTCAATTATATCATAATTCTCTGCTTGTACTGGGACCTATGATTCTCTCTCTTTGTTCCTCGTGCTTCTCACATTACTGTACAAACACTTCAGGTATCTGACTATCCTATCCTCTCCCTGGAACACTGTTTTTGCTTACTACGTTTTTATCCAGGTCTGCAGGCTCTTTACTTTCCTCTCAGCTTTTCTCTCCATACCTCATGGAACCTAGCTGAAAGCCTTCCTCACTAGGTTAGCAAGCCGGGACATGAAGACACTCTTCCCTCTCTTCATCAGAGGTTGTGTCCTTGTTGTGTCAATCAGGTGGACTCTGTGATCAAAGAAGCCCAAGCCTTGCTGGTGACACCATCTATGCAGCCACATGTGCCTACTCCTAGCCAGGCCTTTACTCTCGACTAGAAGCATCAACAAGAACACTACCTGGACCCCTGTCCCCTTCACCTTTGCACCCAGAGATGTGTAGTCATTTTTTATCTGTTCAAGGTTGCCCCTGGCAGTATCAGTGCCCCCGTGGATAAGCAGCATGGAATAGTAGTCAGAGGGCTGGATGAGTCTCTTCTATAATGTCTTGGATATGGGCTCATGGCAGGAAGCACACCTCCCAAGCTAACAGGTTAGGGCATCAGATAGATGTCCTCATGCTCCGCAGGAGGAAGTCACCAACAATCACCACCCATCACTTCTTCTTGATAGCAATGGTCTCGATCCTCCCTCTTCTAAGGTACATGGCTTGGCCTCCCCTGTCACTGGAGTGGGCTCCTTCTTATCCTTTGCAGTGTTCCATATTCTTCAGCTGGACAGCCACAGGTTCAGAATAGTGCTTTCTGTTACCAGAGGTGACAAGCTGCCCGCTTCCACCTTCTAGAGAACCAGTGTCTTCCAAAGTCTTCTCTGGCTGTGCCTCTTCCATGATGCTGGAGGTCTCTGTGCGCCGAGTCAATGAAAGCCTCAAGCTAGTGGATGCTTCTTAACCACTGTCTCTTTATATAGCAGTTTCCCTGGCCACCTGACCATGTCATTACAACTCTGACTTAGCAGCTGGTTAATTGAGAGCAGTTCAGAGGTGTAATAGAGTATCTCTGGGCCAGGGGAAGCAACAGTGCATGGGGCAGTGGGGATTCCTGATTCTGGCAGTGCAGCCAGCAGGCAGCAGCAGTAGAGACTTAATTTTCAGCCCTCATCCTCTCCCCCAATTCCCAGTCAGCAACTAGGGCTACTACTGCAGTTGGTCCCCCTTAGTTACACTACTAAAACAGTTACTGTGTATTAACTAATGCATATTTAGGCTCCTCTGCTCCCCAACCAGATATAATTTGTTTATCTGTCCATGCCCAAAGAAAGATTTTAATTTTAAGCTGAAGGCAAGGGTCATAAAAAATGCAGTCCAGCATCAACTCATGCAATAGGTTCTACTTTTATTCTCTGCAGAAATATTATTGAAGGTGGAGGTTTAGTTTAGTACACAAGACTCTGCATAATACTGAGCAGAACCTGTGTGAATAAGGGCTTTAATAAAGAGCACTCCTTTCCTGCTCCCCCATCCCCAAACTTTACAGGAATACTATGACCTCTCCTTCATATTGTGCACTTGGCCAGTTACTTATACTTTGATATTTCAAAACTGGATTGCCATAATGCACTCCACTTGGAACTATGCACTTAGGTAAACAAAATTAGTTGAAGACACAGTGGTCTATTTATTAAACGTAGCTACATGCTGAGCACAAATTGCAGTGGCGTTTGAAGATCTGTTCTAGCTGCAGTTGAAACTATTGGTTTTCCTCTAAAAGAACCCAATTGATTTGGGACCTGACAGATTGTCATTATTTCTCCATGTCTTTCTAGCACAGCTAAGATACGTGGAGGTCTTCAAGCTTGAGCTCCCTCAATGTAAATGATGAAGTTGCAGCAAGGGGTCTTCA